GCCAGTACAGACCGAACGCAGTGAGGTCTGTACCAGCGACCGAGGTCAAGATTCTCCCATACAGACCGACCTAGCTCAGTTAATAAGATGTTTATTATATGGCTGTGTCTTATATGCCAATTTTTTATATTCTTTGTACCTTTTTTTTCTAGACTGGTCTAGATGCCAGTCTAGATGGGAAAATCTAGACCACTTTCAATACTGATTTCAGCCATTCAAATTCATTAATTTGGTAGTTCCCAGTCCTTGTGAGACACAGCCATATACCATATAATAAAATGAAATTATATTAATCCTTTAAGTCCCAAGATCTGATTGTTAATTCTCCTTTTAAGCTGATATATATTTCCTTGTAAATAAGTTAGGGGAATTAAGTGTTAGATCAAGGTAACAACTTTTACCAGATAAGTTTGAGTATTTTCATTAACTGTTTTGTGGATGATCTATGGACATTATAGGGAGAAGTTACATGTTAATCACTTGTGAGAGTTAAATGGTTAATAGTTTTTACTGGAGCAAAGCTTTAGCATCATTCATGGGAGAAAACGGGAATGTTGTCATATTTCCTATATAATTAACCACCAGTTTCACCCAAGAATATACATGTAACTTGGCCATGTAGCTACCTGGCTCCGCTAGCCCCTATGGTTACTCCAGGCTGCTAGTACTCCAATTTTATTTCTAATTATAATCTCTTTCAATTTTGTAACTTTTTCGCTTAAGCAAGTATGATTGCAAGTACAATAAAGATTATCCGTTTCCATGACTCCATTTTTTGGATTTTCAATAAGTCTTTGCTCCCAAGATCTCATTAGTGATTCTCTAACTGTCTGTCATACAGTTCTTGTGATGTTAGTTGGAAGAATTTTGTATTGGATCATCCTAAAATCACCTAATTGAAATTTGCTTGTATCTCTTGTCTGCTTGGTATTTTATTGATATTGTAAGGAGAAATTCTGCCTTGGTCACTCAGTCACTTGTGAAGGTTTAAGGGTTAAGTAATCTAAGATTCTGATTAGACTCAGATTTGCTCCTATCCCCTCCCCACCCCCAGCCTTACTCTTCACCGGTCAAAGTGACTCCTAATGAAATATCCAAAAGGAAACTCTCTCTCCCTTGGCTTTTCAGAAGAATTATAGGTCAGGTTCAAATGATATTCCAATTTTTGGTTTTGCTCATTTTTACTACCTGTTTGTACAGCAGAGTGCGAAAATGCATGGAGAATTTGTTATAGATACAGAAATCTAACAGGGAGATAACTCTGTCTACTCAAAATTGTAGTTGAGTATCTTAATTTATTGTTCTCCAAAGCTCCCAGATGCTGCCAAGCCAAGAAATCTATGTATTAGAGGAGATCTTTCAACTTGGATCAGACCAACCACGCTAGAAGAGTTGTTGGAGCTGAAGACAAAATATCCACAAGCTAAACTTGTGATTGGTAACACTGAAATAGGTGAGAGACAGGGATTAAATAGATAGATCACTTTATTTATACACGTTAAATTCCACTCAGTCGTATACAAGCAATATACCTACAAGTGTAAAACTTAAAACTATATAATCATTATAAAATATATACAAAGATTAAAAGCCTAATCTAAACAAACTGAACTAACTTCTTATTAGAATGAAAATAAATGAAAATAAAAGTACTGCTTTTATCACACCTCCCTTGTCAATGTAACCAGGAGGAATGTTGATGATAACTTCAGATGGGATGGTGACCCATAAAGGTTACCTCCCCCTCCCCCCAATAAGGGTTACCCTCTCCCTTACCCCTCCTCCCACTCAGTTTTTGTTAGTTTCTCTACAGTTTCATGGTACCCCTATAATCCCTTTAAATATGCGAGAAGCAAGCAATGTGAGATTCAAGTGCCTTCTCTAGCTAGCAAGGTGCCACAGTGATGTCAGCAAGGGTTTCACTCTCCAATGCACCATTAAGTGTCCACTGTAGTTACAGTTAGGTCTCTGGGTCCAATTCTCTCTTCCCGGGGTTTCGATCACAGTTTTAATTTTTCATGGAAAATCCTACCCTAGTGAGAACTTGTATTTCGCACTGAACAAAGTCCTTAAAAAGGCTTAAGTGATTAATTAGTAGATTCCCCTTCTAAAATTTATTTTGTTCCTGTAATTAATCCTGATTTTTAAAACTTAACATCATCGCATTCTATTAACAGGAATTGAAATGAAATTCAAGAAACAGAATTATCCAATCTTATTAGCCCCGACTCACATTCCGGAGCTGAATGCCGTGGAACATACAGCTGAGGGTATCAGGGTTGGTGCGTCTGTGACACTAACTAATCTGGAGGAGGTTCTTGATGACGCCTGTCAATCTATGCCAGGTACTAGTCTTAATCCTTTAATCATTAAGACAGTGACAAGCATCAATTTTCTCCCTACAACAAACCCCTGAATCAAACATTAAGGTCAGGAGAATAAAAGAAATGATCACTAACTTAAGACGCTCTTGTTTGTTAAACAAATTCTCCTAGTCAACGCCTTAGAAAATGTATAGGAAACAACTTGGAGAACTTGCATAATACGTAAGGGTTTAAAGGTTTGAATTAAAGAGATTTCTTTGAACGGTGAACTATAGTTTAGTAATTAATTTTTAGAAAAATCACTGTCCAGTTGTCTCATGCTTCTTAAAGCATTCGAATTAAGCTGTCAGTTTTTGTTGTAATACGTAACTTTGTTAATACTGGGGTTAGGATGAATGCTGGGATTGGCCGAGAAAAAAGGTTTACAAACACGAAACTTTAAGAGAATTTGCGAAGCTTTTTTGGCTCTGTGTCTCGTAACAGCAACAACGATTGAGGCCGCGTGAAACAACATGCCTCTTGAACGACCTGGTACTGGCGCGGTCAATCCCAGCATTCATTTGGACGCGGTATTAGCAAGGTCGCCAATTACCACTGCTGAGACAAGTCCAAAATTGGGAGAGAGAAAAGAGGCAGGAGGTAAGAGGGGCCAATTGAAATCATTATGGCTAGAGCAATGCTAAGTGTATTGTTTAGCGCTGTTGCAGTATTCTCCTTCAATCTGCAGAATACAAGACCAGATGGTTTACAGGGATACTTCACATGCTCAAGTGGTTTGCTGGTCATCAGATTAGAAATGTTGGGGTGTGTAAACTGTCAGATGCCTTTTTAGTCTGTGTTTTAGAACTTTTCTTTCTTCTGTTCAAAGAAAGAGAACTTGGTCAGTTTATGTTAGTAAAGATTATTATTAGTTCTTTTGCCACTGCACTGTTTGAAAAAAAAAAATTGTGTGATATTTTATCGCAATTGGTAGTAATGTCGCAATCTGATTGGCTAGTTTGCCGTTGTCGGTAAGAGTACAGACAATTCTGCTCGTATCAACGTGTCAGATAACGTGTCACGCACTGAAAGAATCGTTTTATTTGACGTCGATATTGTGGTAAAAAAAACAACAACAAACAAACAAATCGAAAGTGGTTTAGCATGCTCTATACTCTGGACGACAACGATATTCGTCATCACGAGTCTCCTCGAGCGGCTTCGTTAAGGCTTGTCCTACAAATATCGACATGACGTTTTCCTTCCAGGCTATTGGAGGGAACATAATGACAGCCAGTCCAATATCAGATCTCAATCCCGTGTTAATGGCTGCGAGATGCCGTCTTACACTAGCTGCTGCTGGAGGTTAGGTACACCTGCTGTTTGAAAACTTGCTCGGTTTGGACATTTTTAATCAAGGCTCAATAATGCTAAAGCTTAATGGGTTGTCAGTTTCTGTCACATAAAGAGACTGGGAGTATTGCCCCCTTAAATGGATTGCTAGGGTGCTATAGTAAGAGGAAGTCTTTAAGTGCCCACGACCTCCTCCCCCATCGGCCTGTTATTTTTTTAAACCTAATAAACTGCCACTATTTATCTTGATATCCAGCTATCTTGGAAAATTGAATCTCATTTCTAGTTTTTTTTTGCATTAAAGGAAAAAGAAGAAAAGTGAAACTGGATGAGAATTTCTTCACTGGGTACAGAAGAACAATTTTGCAACCAAATGAAATACTGGTTGATATTTGTATTCCATTCACTGAAAAGGTGCAACTTATATTTCTTTGTTGACGATTTTTTTTAGTAACACTGCTGCTTTAACTTTCAACAGCATCAGGGTAGCAATTATTACATACAGTTTTAATGTTATGATTTTCAGTTCATTCTATTCTTGGCTTTTAATTTTATTGATAAATATTACTGTTTTCAGCACGAATATGTGTTTGCATTTAAACAAGCTCGTCGGCGTGAAGATGACATCGCCATAGTCAATACAGGCATGAGAGTGCTTTTTGACAAAGAAACACAACCCAGCTCATGGAAAATCCGGGATTGCAGTTTCAGTTTCGGAGGCTTGGCTCCCACAACAGTCATGGCGATGAAAACCATGAATGGTCTCACTGGCAGGTATTTTGAAACAATTTGATGACCATTACTGTGACTGACTTCTAGAATTACTCAGTCATTGCTCTAATAGAATTTGGTAATATAAACTAAGTTGAAATTGTAAATTGGCCACCGTAAAGAGTTAAATAGCTGACGTTTCGAGCGTTAGCCCTTCGTTAGAGCGAATCATTTTGAGGCGAAGGGCTAACGCTCGAAATGTGTCAGCCTTTTAACTCTTTACGGTGGTCAATTTACAATTTCAACTTAGTTGATATTACCAAATTACCTTGTTGCCCCCACCGACGCGGCACCACAGTTTCTTTAGAAACTTACCCCCTTTATTCATTGCATTAAGAAACGAGTGAAGCTATCTTGCACGCTAGTTCCAGGATTGCCAGAGGCTTTTTTTAATCCTTTGAATTTTTGACTAGAAGTGGAGTTCTCCATTTTAGTAATTAATAAACATTTCTTGATAAACTTTTTTGAGATAAGTTATGATAATCAAGGAACAGTGTAGTGCAATCTAACTTGTGAGATTTCGTGTGGTCGTACACCATTTGCGCTGTAGGTGCCCTATCTTTGATGTCTCAGACTACGAACATTTCCTCTCTTTTGGCGAAGTCCGTCGCGCGATACAAAAAAATTCATTGGAAAACAAAATTGATGTTAGCGGGCTGCGTGGAAATGTGGGACTGAGCGCGCGAAAAGTTGGGTTTGCTCGTAAGGTTTGGTTTTGGTGCACGTCATCCAGAGTTCTGCGCGGTGCGTACGTTAGCATCAGTCTTTTCTTCGCTGATTTTTTTTTCTTACTCTCGCCACGGACTGCGCCGAAACGGAGTTGCTGTACGTAGTCTACTCTCTTTCACTGAGCGGTATGATGATGAGCGAGTGAGGGTAGCCTTGAGACGGATGAAGTTTGTATTCTCTATTTCAGAACTTGGAATGAGAGCATAGTACAGGAGGCTTGTCAGCTGTTAGCAGAAGATCTGCCTCTTGCACCCGGAGCACCCGGTGGTCAGGTGGAGTACAGGAGATCGCTCGCCTCAAGATTCTTCTTCAAGTTCTTCTTAAATGTCACTTTGCAGTTGAGTAATCAAGAGGTATACTTTGTACACTTTTTCAAATGTTTTAAGTGAAAGAAAATTTACTTTATTTAGTGTTGCTCTTTTTATTCGATTAATAGTAAAGCAGCCAGCCTCAAATAAATAAAATAGTGTTTGTTTGTTTACAGGTGACGCCCAAGGCTGATCTACCCAAGTCCTTTATAAGTGGAACTGGTCATTTCCAGAGAGATGTAACATACAGTACACAGACATTTCAGGTGTGTTGTAATTTTTGAAGAAAACCGTTTTATGGGGGTGGGGGTGGGGGATACAAATGTTATTATGACACTCACCCGACTGTAATTGCCATTACTGTAGGAAGTCCCCAGTGATCAGTCAATTGAAGATGTAGTTGGTAGGCCTGTGCCTCACTTAGCAGCTGCCAAACAAACCACAGGAGAGGCAGTCTATTGTGATGACATTCCTAAATATGCAGGTAATATATTTCACTGCCGCAAAGGATTACATAGTTATTTCAGTTTGATAAAGATGAATTTACTGAAGGTACAGTGGGTGGAGACATTTCAAATAACTCTACTTAGATCCAGAGGATAAATGTCTCAAACGTTAAGGTTGTTAAAAAGTCAAAATTGCTGTATTTTTTGCCTTTCAAGGAGAACTTTACCTGGGCGTCGTCTTCAGCAAGCGTGCACATGCGAAAATCCTGTAAGAAAATTACCATTTTTTTTAAAATACACCTTATCCTGGCTTCCATAGCATGAAGCGACCAGGAGTATTAATACTCCCCACCCTGGACAGGAGGCTAGTCCGTAAGGTTACCCCC